TGACTTCATCCCAAGTTCTCAAAGAATTAGGGTTCACTTCCTTGTCTAGCCACTCTTGAGCTCTTCCAATTAGAGGGAAAGGAAATAGCTAGAGCCTTATGAATTCTTGCGCTACACTGCTCACCTTAATCGTGTTGCAATATTTCTCGAACTCCTTAAGATGATTGAGCGGACTTTCATTTGTTCCTCCACTATATTGTCTTCTTTCAATCAAAGTTATCATGATTTCAAAATCACTAACCAGGATCAATAATGGAGCAATCCCACTCTCATAATAGTATGCAGCCGGAGTGCCCATCTCCTTTAACGTAAGCCTTGGGACTTCTCCCATGTTATTTTGCACACATAAACTCAAAAAGAAATTATTAGTAGCACGACTATAAATGTAGCCAAAAGAGAAAAATCTTTTTTGTATTTTCAAAACAAGGTGAAATAGACTCAACAACAATAACAAACAACTACGCCATTCCCCGAAAACGGCACCATTTTGAACAAGGGTTGAGACTAGGTCGTTGAAACTAATCCTCCCTTGGTCAAACTAAATTTGTAATCACTCAACACACCCTTATAACTAGCATAGGAGTAAGTCAAGGGTCCAACCACCAGGAATGGGAGGTGAATGAAAATGCTAAAACTAAGCTATTTCAAAGTAATGAAGTAAGGTTTGTACATTCTAAGACAATCAAACAATCAAGATGAAATCAAATATATGAAACAATAGGGTTTAGGATCCACATATACATGCAATGGATACAACTAATTGGGATTGGAATTGACTAACTCGAGTATTGCGAGGGAAAATACATAATGCAATCAAAAGAGTTTGATAAGCTATTCACCTAGAGGTCAAACTAGCGCCAACTACGAGAGACTCTAGCTAGGAACTTCACAAACAAACTCAATCGACAGATGCAAGCCACAAATCAATTGTCTGTATCAATGTGAACTTACAATGCAATCTAGTGCGAGTAACTAGGTTAATCACTCCTAAATTAAACACACACATGCACATAATCAATCAACCAATTTAATCACAACATCAACTCCATCAATTTCACCCAATTAGTATTAATCCATTATTGATATATGCTTCACCATCTCCCTAGTAAGTAGACTACTTCCATGGAAATCAAAATCAAAACTAAGCTAAACAATAAATTCTTTATCATTATATTAATCATACTAAAATAAAAAAAAATCAATCAAACTTGAACAATTAACAAGGCAATTTAAATCAAAAGCTAAAGATGACATAATAGTAAAAGAAATCCTTACAAACTTGCTTCAAATCAATGGAGAAAAGACTTAGAATCATCAATCCTCAATCATCAATCAAGAAATTCTCTCTCCACAAAATCTAACCTAAATTTTTTTAAATTCTAAAAGAATTAAATCTCTCTAAAAATAGAAGGATAGTCTATATATAGTAAAACTAACAAAGATAAATTAGTTAGATCGTCCAAAATAGACCCGTACACGATTTTTCTTCTTTCTCTCTCTAAAGATCTCGGATTTTCTTATTTTTCAAAGCTAAAGGAAGTAGATCTCGTCCCTTATTCATATTTGCCATAATCCGTTCATTCTTGGTTGAATTTGGGTGATTTTCAAACCGTTAAACCCCAAATTTTGAATTTGGGGGTATTTGATTCGACTTGCTTTCATGAATTTGTTTGTTTGTCGTTGTGACATGTTTAAGAAATATATTGCAACAAATTTTATGTGAAGTGGTAAAGTGTCAAGCATATATGTGTTTTTTTTTTTGTTCTAATTTTGACTTTGTGCTTGAACTTTATTTCTCTTTTGTTTTGCTCACATAGCATATACTTGTTAATTTTAATGTAAATTGAAGTGTTTAGAATAAAAATAATGCATTAAAATTATAAATGAAATTTTGAACTTTTATAATAGCATGAATTTGTTCTTGCGACACATGTTTATTTTTTCATGCGCAAGTTTCAAAATTGATTTTATCAATGATAAAAATAACCGACGGTTATTATTATTCAATTATAAAACTGTGATCTCAAGATTTGCACAAAACTAGTTAGTTTAGGGAATTCTTGAAGACATCATCGAACTAGAGTAGTTTGGCTATACTTCGGGCTTTTGAGCCCCCATTTTATGTTATCGAATATTGTAGCCCCCAATGTTGGGTGACTTCGATGACTTGTTTGTTTTTAATAATTAGACCTTTTCATGTAGCTTGAAATGGGTCTAGAAATCCTTTTTTCGTCTTATTATGATAACAACTAGGATCTTGGAAACGATTAAACTAGTGTGTTTAAATCGTTTTTTGACCATTCATAGTTTTAACAAAGAAATTTGCAAAGTCTAGTAATATTGGTCATTCATTAGAACAAGTAAGATGAAAAAATGAAATGTTGTTCAACATTTTTTGTCTATTCTTGCTACTTTTGAATTCTTTCTTTTGAGTTCGAATTTTTTTCACTATTATGAAGCTCGAGAAAGTAGATGTTGTCCCTCTTGCGGAATTCTAATGTGTGGAACAATGGAGAATAATGAAGACTCCTTAATTTAGAATTTAGGAGTCTTTTGTTTACATTTTAACTCATGAAATAATGTGTCTTGATACAATTTTCATGATGAATGATTGAGTACTAACTTTCGTATGATCAAGAATGTTTTATGCATCATGATTTTGTTTCTTTTGCTCTATACTAGTCATACTCTATAATCTCTAGAGTAAATTGAAGTATTGGAACAAAAATTATGCACTAAGATTAGTTTTTGAAGTTGAACTTGAAAATGGCTTGAGTATGTAACATGTTTAATGGACAAGTTTAGTTGCAAACTTAATTTTCAAAGGAACAACATGATTATTAAATCATTGTAATACGTTTGAAAATGGTAAGGCTCAAGAACTACGTAAACCAATTGTAGTTTAGGCGATTCTCGAAAGTAGCTCGAATGGCATGAATATCTCATTTTGTTTCTTTTTGTTGATATTGGAGCCTCCATGTGTCGGGTTATGCGCATTCTTGCTATTTCACAAGTCTTGGAGCCCCTATGTGTCGGGTTATTGCGCATTCTTGCTATTTCGCAAGTCTTGGAGCCCCTAATTGGGGGGGAAATGCTAATGACTTGCTATTGTTTAGGTCATTCATATGATATTGAGATGGACCTGTGTATATATCCTATTTTTATTTTTAAAATATTTAGGATAGTGATATGGCTTTCACATTTTAGTTAAAGTTCTTTTCAAGAAAGTAAGTTAGTTTTCTGCTTGTTTATAGACCAAAAACAATTCTGTTTAAGGTTTAGTATTCTTACCTAACGTCTAAACATTTGTAAAGATCATTGCGGTGATTTTATTCTTCAAAGTTTATTAAGAACAACAAATATTTATTTTCTTTGTTCTTGTCAATCTTTGATTTTGGTCTTGTAGGTGGTTCGTTTACCATCCCTTAGTCAATAAGCGAGAACAAGTACGAGTCAAGTAGAAGTCGAATCTTAATTCATTCCTTTTGGAAATATTTATGTATATACATGTATTATCCTAACGGTTATTGAGAATCTGAAAATTTATTTATTTTGAGAAAAAAAAAATTCAGAAAGGAAATTTTGAATACTATTTTTATTAGAAACATGTTGTTTCTAACAAGAATTCAAAATTTGAAAAGGGTCCAATAGTTTATTTTGAAAAGCAACTTTTTCTAGTAGGCAAAAATCATAATCATATTATTTTCAAAACTGGACCCAAAATGGAAAGAAAAGTCTAGCTCGTAATTGAGTGTGACTTATTTCAACAAAGATATAAAAATGTGAGAAAACTTTTGTATATCCAATTTTGTCATCTCTCCCTTTTTAGTGTTTGTCATCATTGTCATACTTTGATAATTGAAAGTGAAGTTCTTCCAATTAAAAAGTGTCGTAATTTGAAAATGAATATTTAAAAAACTTAGGTTTGATGGAGTGTTAGAATAATTTATAAAATCATTCGAATCACTTTCCACAATATGGTCTTATTTCAAAATGAAAGTTGAGGTGAGACCTATATTTTTGTAGCCCCCAAGTGTAACCTTAGGTGGATTTTGCAATTCATGTATACTCATGATAGGGGATGTTTCTCATGTTTATTTGAAGCCCCAAGGTTTGTATTTTTAATTTGTGGAATATTACATATGTTTATCATGAATTGTTTGATCAAGTGTCATAATTAATTATCTTGGTCAAATAATAGGAAGTTGTATTCTTCCCTTTGTCATTTAAAGTTATTAAGATGGTTCGTAATAAGCTTTTTATGACATTGATTTCGCAACATATAAATAGCGTATTCAAATCTGTAAATAGTGAGAAGTGGGGATGTCCTGGCTTTTTAGCCCCAAGTTTGATGCGAAGAGCAAAAAAAATTATACTATTTTTTCGAGTATTTTAGTTGCCAAATGGGAGGGATCATCCCGACTTACCCCCTAACACTACTACAAAAAAAGCCTTAGAGAACTATTAGAATAGGCTTTACAGATCGCCTTAGGAGCGTTCTTCTGCTAAGCGATGTATAAAGCATAAAGAACGGTTCGTTTAGGCATTTTATATATTGACAAATAGAGAATGGTTGTTAGTCACAACCGTTCTTTATTCCCTTCTTAAATTCGTACACTAAGGAAGGAAAAGAGAACGGTTTAGGCTACTTAACTGTTCTGTATTGCATTATAGTAGAGAACGGTTAAGTTAGATAACAGTTCTTTAATGTTATTTTTTAAATAAAAAAAAATCCGACCATATGTATTTGATTATTCAAATTAGCCCTGTACGTATTTTATTTGTATTATTCATATATTTTGATAATCTGTTTTTTGTACTTCATTTTAGACCTGTATTTGTTGTATGTATTTCTGTATTATATCTTGTACATTTATCCTGTAAGAAAAATTCCACATTTTCTATGTAAAATAAATCCATAATCCTGTATACGTGCAATATAAATATCTGTATAATAAAATTAACGAAAATATTTCTAGATACGACAAAAGCAATTAAAATATACTTCATATATATAATTTAAAACATCCAACCACAATTAAATTTAATCATTCATACAAAATTTGTTCTATATAAACAAATACGTGAGTTAAATATCAAAACACCTTTCTAATTAATGTTGATTTAAAAAAAAAAATTATGCTTAGATATACCAATACCATATTGATCTACAATTCACATAAATCATTGTCGTTGTCATTTGGTTGATGGTATCCGGTAACATATGAAATTCACCTTTCCCTAAGCTCGTCGATCATTTGTTGAGAATATGTTGGAGGAACTTGCTTAAAATACTACAAAACAATGTAAAATACATACATATTTGTTAATAATATGAAATAAGTTCATCTAATTAAATATAAATATGTATATCTTTTTTATTTTTTGACAAAATGCAGCAAGCAGAGTAGTAGATATTAGTACACAATTCCAGCCAAGTGGCCCAAGCACCATATCAGCCTATTACCACCTCAGCAAGCACCTGTTGCTCCACGTCCCAGCCAAGAGACCCAAGCACCATATCAGCCACCTACACAGCGGCCCCCTTTCCATCACGCAGAAGTGGCGCCAGCACAGCCCAAACCATCTCCATCTCCTTCACTACCACAGTCACCATCTCTATCACGAGGAAGTGACAAGCCAATTTAGATAAATAAGGAGTGTGGTGTGTGTGCTGTGGTAGATGTTCTGTTTTGGCAGCAGTATAAGATAAATTCAATTAAGTATGAGAGTCCTTGTATGAGGGAGGCTGAGTATAAATAGAATAGAATGAATTAGAATGGCATGTGATTAGGGTACAGTTTGCTAGTGAGTCCATTCAAGAAGCAGGGAGCATTAGGGAGCAATTAAAGCTAAGAGTGCAATCCCAATTTAATTAATTCCTAAAGCTTATTTTCACTATAATGTTTAATCTAAATTACATGAATTTGATACAAAAACAAGCAAATATAAAATCTTCTACCGATGCTATGTCAAAATCTTAGAAGAATGCAGCCAAGTAGGTCATCTTTTTAGGTAAAAAGATTTTCTGATCAACTAATCAGGAAGATCTCATCTAGTAAAGACATTGAAGTTTCTTTACTAGGAAATTTGAAGGTTATTAGTTCTATGATCCATTAATTTTCAATAAAATATTTTTGTTCTACAAAAGTAACTTGTTTATATGCACTTATTATGTAAAATAGATAGGTTTAAATGACTAAAGCTAGAGTCTAGTGACGACAAAAATTTTCCAGAAGCTTATGAGTTGTTAATAAACCATAATCCGATTCAAAACTGTGCAGAAGCTTATGAGTTGTTAGTCAACCATAATCCAATTCAAAACTGTCCAGAAGCTTATGAGTTGAAGGTAACATACTATTTCATTCTCATTAGATACATTCAAACATATGTTTAAACATGAAGAATTCAGGTCAAAAGAGCGAGGCCTAAGAAATAATGAACACCTTTATAAACAAAAAAAAGGTGATCCAATATTCAGGCTTTATAATCAAAAGGATAAATTCTCATGAAATTCCAGGTGGAACCTTGTATACCAGAGATACATACATTAATAAACTAGAATACATTCATGCTAATACTTACTAATATACTCTAATTTACTAGCTAAGCCATGAATTTATAATATTATGATTTATAAATAATTAGTAGAAGCTACAACACATACTTTTCTCAAAGAACTGAAATCATAGAGAACAATGATCGATCGAGGGGATCAACGAATACAACTGGTTATTAACCAACATGACTAAACCCCTTCTTTGAAAGTTATTCTTATTAGAGGTAGTTCAAGTAGAATGTTTAGCCTATAAACCCTTCTTTGTTTTACATTCTACTTACCATTTTCTGTTCCATTGGGCATCAAACTCTATATCTAATTTTGTCTAACCTTAAATGCATATGAATGTTCAGCCAAAGAAGAGGCAAAATAGCAAGTCTATGTAGGCTCTAAATCTTATTCAAAAGCAAATGTAAACACAAAAATCCAAACATTTTGTTTTTAAACAAACCTCATTCACAAAATGGGCTCAACCATATCCTCATCAATTCTACCAACACCATATATAACCACAACTAAACCAAAACCAAAATGGGCTCAACCATATCCTCATCAATTCTACCAACACCATATATAACCACCACTAAACCAAAACCAAAAATTGTATGTTTATCTCACTGTTTTAAGTCCTATCTCTTTATTCCTTTTTTTTTTAAAAAAAAAAAAAATCTGATTAGGGCTCTAACTTGAACTTAGGTAAGATTAATTTGGCTAAAATAATTTTGATTACAATTGAAATAAAAGTAAATTCGACAAAATAAAGGGTAATTGATTGAACTTACTTCAATAATTCGGTTTAAATATATACATACAAACAATCGATGAATTCATCCCTAAAACAAGAACTTTGAAGTTTTTTTCAATCACCTAAAATTCGAATTCTACGAATTTCCTTCTGTTTTCTTCATAATTCGAATGATTCATGCAATTAGACTGACAATTATCAGAATCCAATTACTTTATCACAAGAAAAATTCGAACAAAAAAAATATCGAGACTACCTCAATTTACTGGTGGCTCAGCACACAGGTCCGGTACTGCAGACGTGGAGCGGCGGTAGAGCGGCGGTGTTGTTGAACAGTAAGCGGCTGATGAAGGTTTTTTAATGGAGGTTTGATGGAGGTTTCACTTTTTTTTTTGGCTGATGAATGAGAAAGAGGTTTCAGTTTTTGATGAAAGTGAAATTGATGCGCGCTTCAATTTTCACCTTTAGCAGCCTTTGATAATTTAGGTAAATTATTACTCCGTATGTAGGTATATAATTTCCTCCTAATTAAAAAAAATTAATATAATACAAAACGGTTGTCAAGATGACCTTTCTATATCATCTATAATACAAAATTATTTTTTTAATTATTTGAGTAAAAAGAAATAGAGAACGGTTAACTATGCCAACCATTCCATATGTATCAACATACCGAACGCCTCTTATATTAAAAAGAGCTATATTCTTCTGGAGAACGCCTACCTTTGATAACCGTTCTATATTTTACGATCTCTAATCTAGTTTTTGGTATAGTATAAAAAAGAAATGAACATAAAAGACGGATTTGTATAATAAGGAAGGGGAATCTAACTTTCCTATAGAAGAATAATGAAAGAGAATGAGACATGTTTTTGAAAAGCAACGATTATTGACTAAATATTTGAATCATCGTGATGACTTGGCAGTGAGGTATACGTGTGATAGTGATAAAGATCATTTTTTTTCTTGTAGCGATCATGTTCAATCAATATTCCTCGCTTAGAGAAGATGGAGATATCCCACGTAGGTGGACATTTTAGTTGCTCATGACAATTGAAAGGACCAATTCTTAAGAGTTGTAAAAGACATCTAAAGTTGACGTCGAGGCTATCGACATATCAAATAAATTTATTGTATTAACTCTTTTTATTTCTAAGAAATGTATATAGAACCTGAATTACCTTGGTAATAAATAGCCCTATTATTAAAAGAAAATAAGATGATTGTTTTTTTTTAAAAAAAAAGTGATAATTATCTCATTTTTCTTTGGCAAAAGATATGGAAAACATGGAATTTAGTTTGATTCGATTGCTTTATTAACATGATGTAATCAAGCCAATGGCTATCAAATCATCCAAATCATTTAAATTTTTTTTATATGATCTTGTAATCATAACTCAACACTTCATGCATTTTATATATGGGCATGACTACTTAATAGTAGGTCCATATGTGCAAAGGCCTAAGATTGGCCATTTTTTCATGTAATGATGATTTTGATACATGGTTATGGTCTGCCTCAAGGAGGGCCTTTCCAAGGTCGTAACGTGGCTAGGTTTGGGGTTATAAACAATGGACAGGCTCTAGTATACTCCCAAAATCCTTTACATTTGGTGCTTATTAAATTAGAACCTTTTTGCTTTGTGTGACAACTCCTACATTTTTGGTGCTTTTTCCTTGTCATCTCTCCTTTCTTTTTTTTTTCTTTTTTTTTTGACAAGTTTTGTTTTGGGTTTAGAACAATTTTTATTTTTTCTTTTGGATTTGATCTTTCCTTTTGGGTTTAGACTAACTTTGTGTCCCCCTCTTATGTTTCGTTTCCCTAATTTCCTATTTGTATCTTTGCACCGTTCCCGTCCAAAGGTATGGAATAATGTAGGTTGAATAACTAAGGCTCAATTGACGAGGCTCAAACGGGCTGCCAAAAAGATGGATTTTTTCTAAGGTTAAGAACATGGGATTATATTTATGGAGTTCAAGTTGCCTCTTGTGTTGGTGAAATCATCATATCCTTTCTTTGTAGGCCTAAGATTGGCCTCTTTTCATTCAATATATCTTGTAAGCCAAAGCTCATAAAAGATTCTTAAAGTGTTTGAGTATGTATGCCTTTTGATATTGCATGTTTATATGTATATGTTTTATTTAATTCAAGTAAATAACAATAAAGAGATTGAAAAGAGAACAAGATAGACGTAATTGAAAATATATTTTTTATTCATTAATTAATGAGAGTACAAAAAGGTAGATTCGACAGCATGAATCTTTTAGTCCATCATAAAAAACAAAGGAATGAAACAAAATAAGACCTAGGGTGCTACGTCTTGAATTCTTGACAACTTCTTGAGATTGCGTCTTCGAGCTTTGTCCGTTTCTGACGTAGGTTAAATCTTCTCTAAAAATCAAGTCCATCTATAAGATTCATGGTTTCATTTATCTAGTCCCTTTCAATTAATGTTCCCACAGTATAGACTTTTTGAAATATGTATAAACTAAGGTATTGTAAATGGCACTTGTATAGTGGAGACATATTGTCTATGAACTTTGGGACAAGTTCATGATCTGGAGGTCTTTGTGGAATAAGAGCAACCTTTGATCGCCACCTGGAAAAGAAGTCAATGAAGCTTTCTTTTTCCCCTTGCTTAAGCAATTCAAGATCGCGCAAGGTAGTTGTGAGCTCGATCTTATCTCCATATTGGGTTAAAAACGCTTTTACAACGTCACTCCAAGTGGAAGTTTGTTTTGCATCGAGGATATAAAACCATGATCTAGCAGTTGGGTCCAATGAAAGAGGAAAAGTACATGCTTGGCTAAACCCCTTTCAATGCCATAATTCCAATAAAGCTCATTAAGTGAGTTCTAGGATTGTCTGTAACCTTAAAGGTTGGCAAATCCGTAGTCATGAACTTTTCTGGGAGAGTCTTGCCATTAGGTTGTTGTGCAAGCTCATAATTGAAGTACTTATTCCCTGAGTTGGCTCAAAGGACAAGTTTCTCCAAGGCCTCTACTCTTTCGGCTCTTGCTTTTTCTTGCAAAATGTTTTCTTTTTCTTTTTCTACTTTTATTTTAGCCTTTTCTGCTTTTTTATGAGCCTTCATTGGGCTTCTTCTTCTCGTAAGGCCTTTAGGTTTTTGAGTTCCACTCTAAGTTTCTCCAATGCTGCTTTGTCACCCATGATTAGACTAGTATGCGGATGTGGAAAATGATCTAGTAATGTGTATCAAGAGAAATTGAGCTCGTTCACTTAAACCTTTTCTGCCAAGCATTCAAACAATGAACCAAAGTCAAAATGATTGTTTTATTTATTTTTTTAATCCTTGTAATACGAATTCTCTTTAAGAAAGTTTGTTAATGAAGAATGTCAAAAAATTCATGAACAATCATTAATGGAATGTCATGATTTGTGTTGACTTCAACAAGATAATCATCTAAGGATTTTGCTTTAAATGAATTGTTTTCAAAAAAAGGTAGAAGAGAAAGACAAAAAAGTTGGATTGAAAATGCTCATCAAATTTTAGGAATATTAATTAACCTGAACATACTCCTTAAAATGATCAAATATACTATGGTATTTGTTGATCACTTAGATTGCAATAGAGATCTATATCATTTATTTTCAATTATGATTCTCATATTGCTCATCTTTAAAGGATAATATATTACTATTTGTTTAAAAAGAATGATGACCTCCGAATGTAAAATCAAAGAAATAATTAAATCATTTTCTCGGTTTTAGCATTCATTATCTTCTCTCTCTCTCTCTTTTTTTTGAGAATAATATATTTTTTTTTTGGTATCATACTTTCTTTTTTTTTTCTTAAGGACGATATTTTTTTTCATTCTATTTCTCTCTCTTTTTTTTTGTGAGGCAATCATCCCAAGTAAAGTTCTCAGGATTTTCTTTTTAAACCATAGAAGAGGTAAATAAATTATACTCTTAAATCAAGGTTGTCCAATTACAACTTAAACAATGATGAACAAGAAAATAGGCACGTTTAAGAATAAACATATTGATGACGTCCTATTAAGTGATGCGAACTTCTAATGACGAACCTCATAAGAAGTAATAATGTCATTAGCTCAATTATAAATTACGTAAACGAATCATCATAATAAAAAATAGTATCGCGCGTAATTTTCCATCTTGCGCTAAGGTGGAAAGCGAATCTTCAAGAGTAGCATCAACCATATGCGGGGTTTTTTTTTTAATTTTTTTTTTGCGAAAACGCAAAAAGATCGATAAAAAAACATGTTTTTCAAAAAAAGACGATCATAGTAAAATTTAGACGACGTTGTTAGCCAAAGAGATATTTTTAGCACCTACATAACGATTAAACTTGAAGCGGTAGTATCGTTTTCTTTGTATGATATTGCTCGTAACGAGTCAAAGTCAACGTTGAACAGTGGGCACGCTCCAGACACAGTGTTGCGCGGAGGTGCCTCGCGCAACTTCTGAACTAGCGGTAGGAGGGCGCGCGCAACTTTGACAGTTACGCGTGCCACCTGGTAGGTTCGACATTTTTTTTTCCGAAAACGCAAAAAGAACGATTTTTTTTTCAGAACCATAATTTTTGCGATTTTTTCTTTATTATATCTCTAGGTAACAAGTTGGAATTAATTAGATTAGACACGAAGCACATATTCATGTAATCACATAAGCACATAAAAGGAACCATCAAAGAATACAATGTCATTCTAAGGTCAAGGCTTGGGTGTCCAAAGGTACGATATCTTAAGAGACGATGCACGAATCAATCACTCAACGTGTTAACCCACGACATAGCCTTCCCAACATTTTGTTGGCGATATGGGTGGGATGATTGTTATTGATTTTGAGATAGAAGCCTAGTGTTGACAACCCCTAGTCAATGAGTCAATCCCCAATGGTTAAACTATGCTATGATTATGCATGATGCAATGTTACTTGTTTGATTTTTACTTTTGTGAAAAAGGAAGATATTATGCGTTCGAGTCTCGCTCTCTAACTAGAGATTATCCAAGTTAGTTCTCGTTACAATCCATAGGCAACCTAGTGTTGGAAACCTTGAACCATAACTACGAACTAATCTTGTAGCCTCTAAGTCCCCAGTGGAGTCGCCAATGTAAGGAGGGTGATCCCATCGTAGGGGGGGTCCTTCCTTAGATGCCCATGGCCACTTAGAAGCCTAGGACTTTACACTGGTTAAGGTGTATTAGGATCTGAATTCCTGATTGTTTGGGAGACCTTGAATTAGAAATGATATTCTCATCACGTTTTTTTTTAAGAAACAAGTAGGAGTCGCCAATGAGTTTTAGGAAAACTCATAAACCTTGTTCATGCCTTTCTTCCATGTGGAGTTCATGGAATAATTAGCACGAATCATAAGTTTACCCATGCCCATCGGTCTACATAAACTAGAAATGAGTTCGGGAGCGAGGATACTAAGATAATGTTCCCTTTAGAGGGGAATCGCTATCTTAGCCCTAGTACGGCCTCTACTAGCTCTTCCTTTTTCACAATTTCATCACCAAACAATATATGCAACGTGATACCTAAAGACTAAGTTAGTTGATTTTATTTACAAGCATTAATCATGTAGTAATTATCTTGCAAAAGTCGTTATTCTTTGTTTAATCAATATTAGTGAAAAGAACAAAATAAACAATATCCGCCTCGTCTTAAATGATAAAAC